GTTACCTGTTCCTGCCTTTGGGAACACTAGTGAAAATTATAAACATGGCAGGTACACCACGTATTTTCTCTGTGTTCTTCCCTGTAAAACAGGGGTAGGGATTACTTTAGGAGTGATAGAGGCTTACCTTGGAAAATTCTTGTCCCTTACCCTAGGCTGTAGTTTTTTTGGCACAACAGCTCCCTTGCACAAGCAGGCCTAGAGTGATTTGCTACATATTGAAGTCATACGAATGCTTTGACCAGTGATGGTCGGGCAGGGTAGAGTATGTCAGCTAACTCATCACCTGTCTGGAGATGATCATTCTGGGGCTGAAAGCTGCCTTCAATGCCTGTGGATCAGATGCTCGAAAATACCAGTATTGTTTGCAGTTTATTAGTCATGCAACCTGCACCATGCCCTGGGTGCCACAATTTGTGGTGAGTCACAATACTTTTGCTTTGCTTGAAACCTGAGAACTGAACTGATAATGGGGGCGTTTTTTGAGACTGAGCAGGGAATACGTTTCTTCCCCTATTCATTTTCCACATTTCACAATTGTAGTGTGCTACAAAATCCCTGCTCTTTTATAGGTTGAAGAGTGCTAGACTATGTGCAGTGCTTGTACAGAAGCTGATCAATCACTTCAGTCTCCCTTTTCTCTCCTTCCTGTATTCTTTGGATTCTAAAACATATTTGTGAAATATGGTTAAGAGGCACAATAGGTTCTGAATATCATGGATTTAGTGTTTTGTCTCTATCTGTTCTTCTTTTCTCTAAGACTTGGTAAGATGCTCTTAAATTCTGAGCTGGCTGGCATTTCAAAACATTTCAAAGCATGACTCATGGATTCTTTCATATGGCAGCAGCCAAACTGGAGCCCATTGTGAACTTCTTCCTCTACTTCAATTGCTTTGGACTTTATTGACATTGGTTTTTATTGGTCAGTTTAATCAACCAGTCACTTACATGGTTTTGCAACTCTCTGGAGGTTTCTTTAGATTAAACCAAAACCTGGATTGCTGTCATATTTTCATTTAACCATTAACTTGGATCTGCAGAGAAATCAGGATCGTTTTGAACTGTACAGGTGCCAGCACAGAATTTTGTGATACTCTCCCTTCCCTAGAACCTGCTTATTTATTTCTGTGCTCTAATTCTCAAGGTAAATAGTTATTAATCCATGAAGTTAATCCTTTTCCAAAGGCAGTTTAATTTCTTCTGGAACTCTGGGAGAGGAATCACAACTACACTTCATGGGGCATGAAGTATGTTCTGGCTGTATGTTATTATGTTATCAGCCGATGTTGTTACTGGCTCCACAGCTCTTTGATTCTGCCAGAGTTCTGAAGCTTCATTTCCCTGTGACATTTTCACCTGTAAATCAGGTATCCTTACAACAGTTCTGCTAGTTGACTGATCAGAGACTAGACATACTGGTCTTTCCCCAGGAGAAGTGGTATTTGTAGCCTCCATCTTTTGTTGAGCTGTTCCTTTGAACTTCCTTTGACAATTCTTGTCCCCAGGCATTGCATTCAGCCCCCAGAACTCATGGCTTCTCAAACACAGAAGCAGTGAGCATACAGCGTTGACAGTGCTAGAGAGAAGGCTCATTACCTGCAGTGTCTGGTTTGGTGGCTTGGATGTGCAAGTATCCAGATTCCTGCAGAAGATAATAGAAGTTCTTCTGGACAAACGGGTACATTCGTCGAACGTCTTCCCTGCTGAGGCCCACGAGCCACGGTACGTAAGCCCCGAGCATCACAGAAATCATCCTTCTCAATCCTAGTTTGACGTCGAAGACCAGATTCAGGTGAAGCCCTTTGACAGATCTAAAATTAAGTCAGTGAACAGAAGGTTAAATCAAGCCACGTTCTGTCTCTTGATTTTCTAGAAGTTGGTACAGCTGATGCCATCTCCACCCAGCTGTGCCACTGGTATGATGTTAGCTCTGCGTGCTCAGTTTCTAGATGTGGCACGTCCATACTGGAAGCTCTGGCTGTTGATCTGGGATTGTTCTGTGCTATAGGGAACAGGCTGCAAACCTTGTGTGGAGAATGGTCCATCTTCTCTCCCTGCATGTAAGACTAAACAAAATGCCTTTCAAGCCAGCAAAGCAGAGTGGTGGCTTTTATCTGATTTAGCCAAGGATGCTCTGGCTGTTGATCTGGGATTGTTCTGTGCTGTAGGGAACAGGCTGCTCCGGGCATTTTCTGAAAAGTTTGAGTATATCCTACAGTGCTCTGGGTGCTGTGAAGCAGAGCTGCCATCAGGAACAGGGGCCAATGCTAATTGGCTAATTTGAACAGTGAACCCCAGCACCGCTGCCTGGAGGAGCCGAGAGGGCACGAGGGCAGCCCCACATCTGCTGCCCTGAGAAGCCAAAAGGGGGGCTCAGCTCCTACATTTTTACTCCACTGATTCTACACCTCTCCCTGGGAGTGTGCATTTAATAAGACCATAGTGCCTTTGAATTATTTTCCTGCTATATACATAGTCTACCTCTGTTGAACCTTGGTCACTTAGTTTGTATTAGCCCTTAATAAACCAGTTAATTCGTAAACTAAATATTGGTCTCAGTAGCAATTTGAGAGCGTGGTGAGGGGTTATTCACAGCTCTAAAATACAGTCCCGCAGCGGCCGTTCCTCTGTGAGAGGCGAGGGCCACGTGTGACCCTCGGTCTTACTCACAAAGGCCTCCTCGTTGGGGGGGATGTCGCACCGAGAAAGCACCTGACAGCCGGTAGCCCCTGGCATCGGCTTTCAACAGCTTGAGTAGATCCCATGTGGCCACACTGCCCTGGGTGCTGTGAAGCAGAGCTGCCATCAGGAACAGGGAGCTGCTCAGCGTGACATCTAACTGCTTTAAGAGCTTTCCCCCTTTCTTCTCTGACCTAGGCCTGGCCTGGTGCCCCTTCTCCATTAAATGCTAAACAAGGAGCCGTGATGCCAACTTCTAAGGAAGGTAATTGTGCTTCTTTTCTGATCAGTCTCAACTCTGCATTGCAGGTAGGTTCTACACTCCATGGTACTGTTCAGCTCCTGAAAGACCAAGCTCCTTCCTTCCTTTTCTCCCTCCTGATTTCAAATAGACCTTCTTCCTGATTTAGAACAATGATCTGTCTCCTTGAGGGCTCAAATCAGAAGGCCACAGGCTTGACTTCCACAGCTAGTGAAAGAGAAGCCAAACAGCACTGAAATGTAGGAAGTCTGAGAACTGTACCAGTATCAATGGGAAGCATGGGAATACAAACCAGGGGGGTGAAGTCCCTGGAGGAAACAAAGCAGAAGGGATGAGAGGCAGGGTGAACAGAAGGCAGGACCAGTACCATGGAGCCAGAAGGCAGGGTAAGAACTGGAGGCAGCTTTTCTGCACCAGTTCCCATGGCTACTCACTGTGGCAGCATCTGGGCCATGTTTGTGGTAATACGGGATCCCCAGTCTCCTCCCTGCACGTAGTATTTCTTGAAGCCCAACCTGTTCATCAGCTTATGAAATATCCGAGCAGTTGCTATGCTGTCAAAACCTGTAGGTAAATAGAAACACAGGAGACCTGTGTGTCCTAGTGTTCATCCCCTGGCCAAAGACTGTGGCCTGACAGAGAGACTCAAGCATGCTGCTGTGTGAAGGCACAGGGTGCTACACTGCTCTGCCTCCCTCCTTGGCAATTAAGTGAACACAGGATGATAGGAATTGAGTGGGAAGGGGAGCAAGTGGAAAACAGACCTGGCTTCCAGCTACCATTGCTTTCCAGATTGTCACAGCTGGCCCCAGAGCCTCAGCCACATGGGTGTTGGTGCAGTGCCAAGGATCTGCAGTCACAAACTGCAGTGGCCAGAGGTCCTGCAGATGCCTGAGGTGTTACTCAAAAAACCTGGTGATTCCAACAGAGCCTTTTTCATCACTTACCTTTCTGGCGCGGTGCTTCCGAGAAGCCATAGCCTGGGATGGATGGGCAGATGACCTCAAACACTACGTCACTCTCAGTCAGGCCGTGCCCAGCTGGGTCTGTTAGCAGAGGGATGATCTTGTAGAACTCATAGAAAGAGCCGGGCCAGCCATGGACCATCAGCAGAGGTTGAACAACTTGACCATGAGGGACGTAGGAGGGCTTCACGTGGATAAAATGAATCTCAATCCCTGTCGCAAATGCAAGACAGAGAAATTAAAGCTCTGGCTGAATCACAGTTTGTGCTCTGGGTTCTGAAGAAGGGGGGTGGCAAGATTGTAATTAGCATTCATAGTAGAAGTTACACAGTCAACCCAAGAAGCCCAGCTGAAAGAGCATGCCTGGTGTGGTACCTATGTCTCATCCTGTACATACAGGCAGAGGTATTGATCCCAGCCCCAGATATTTTGGGTCACTGAAGATTGTGCTTCCATCTCTTGAGAAACTGGTCTCACAGTATATCAATAGAGGAGCACTTAAATGACGTGCAAAAATATGACAAAACCACTAAATATGTGGATAATAAAAAGAGAAAGATGATGAAGTAAATGCAGGATAAAAGTTTAACTTGCAGATCACTTAGCTACAGTCTGCCCAACCTCACCGGGCTAGCTGGGCTGTTGGTGCTTTGGAAGGTACCTTAAAGACCATTGAGTTCCAACCCTGCTGTCATGGGCAGGGACACCTCCCACTAGACCACGTTGCTCCAAGCCCCATTTAACATGGCCTCCTGGGCAACCTGTTCCAGTGTCTCACCACCCTCATAGTGGAGAATTTCTTACTAATATCTAACCTAAATCTCCCCTCTCTCAGTTTAAAACCATTACCCCTTGTCCTATCACTATTTTCTCTGATGAAAAGCCCCTCCCCAGCTTTCCTGTAGCCCCTTGGGGTACTGGAAGGCCACTCTAAGGGATCCCAGAGCCTTCTCTTCTCCAGGCTGAAGAACACCAACTCTCTCAGCCCATCTTCACAGGAGAGGTGCTCCAGCCCTCTCCTCATCCTGGTGGCCCTCCTCTGGAGTCACTCTAATGCGTCCATGTCCTTCTTGGGCCGGGGGCTCATATCACTAAGCTGTTCTGCATGATGTTGTCTTAAATGTTGTAACCTCTGAAATCCTCCCCCTTCTCTCTGTGCGTTTCAGAGGGAGACCTGCTCAAGCCACAGAGTCCCCCTCACCTTCAATGGTGGTTCGGAAATGGGGGTACTTGTTCAGGACCTTCACTTTCTCACGCCAGTCGAACTCCTTCCTCCAGTAGGACACCACCTTCCGCAGGAAGTTGGAGTTGAAGCCGTAGTGGAAGGCAGCCCCTTCCAGCGGGGGCGCGTAGCGCGCCTGGTCCAGGCGGCGGTGCAGGTCCTGCAGAGGGAAGCCCTTCTGCTGAGGCTGCCCCCAGAGCCTGCACATGCCTCGCAGCAGGGCAGGCATGGGCTGCTGGCTCTGCTGGCTTCTCCATCGCTCTCTGGGACACCACGAGCCCTCCTGAAGCACTGGCATACTCTTCATGCCTCTCAAATCATTTATACAGGGAATACATTTTATGATTACATTTATTATTTTATTATACGGAGAATAGGTTTTCCCAGAATTCTCCAAGCAATTGATGCAAACAAGGTGGAAGCCTTTGACCAATGTGATGATTTATTGGGTGACATCCTCCATTGTGTCCTCCATGAGATACTACAAGGAGAATTTTGCCAGTGACCCTACTCTAGATGCCCATGCCAGGTAAGGAAGTGGCAGGCACAAGAGATGTGCAAATGAGATTGAGCCACACTTGCCTGTATAATTAGGTAATTTACAACAGCTAATGTAACTGGTTAGAAAAACCCACAAACCCTTAATTCCTTTTCACAACTATAGTTAAGGGTCCCTTTTGAACACAAGGCAGCTCGTGGCCAAGGCAACGCAGAAGACTTAGAAGTCTACTCGATCTTGTTTCTGTTCAAAATACAGGCCTATGTACTTATAACCTAACAAATGTAATCTGTGGCTCAGTTCAGTGAAAGCAAAACAGAAAACCAGGAGCATTCCTAGGAGAGAAGTTTAAACTGAATTAGGGAGAATGTGGCTTACTGGTGGATAAATCAAGAACTACAACTGCTAAGCACAAACTTGGTCCTTGTTGATTACAAGGCTTCCTCATCCCTCTCCTGGTGCTCTGGGTGACAAGGGTCAATAGAATATGGGCCAATCAATCTATTTTAAGGCAGGTTTGGGACTGAATGAGATAGTATCAGCTGGAATAACAACTGCACAGACAGAATAGGTAGAGGAGCAGAGACAAAGCTCTGCGGCTGCTGGAGAAAGCTGGCTGTGTTGCAGATGCTACTCTTGGCAGTGCTTTATACACAGCTCCCCTACAGATTCAGTTGTTTTTTTGGGCAACACTGGCCCTCCACCATAGCTTTCCATGGGTAAGGGTCTCAGTTTGTCTGTGTGGTGCCCCTGTTTCTATTCTAGACTGCAAGGTTTCAGGCTTTCTTGAGGTGTGAGAGCCAAGTCATCAGAGTTCATTTTTACAGACATGCAGAATGTTTCAGAATTGTTCAAATGCTTGAGCAGTTAGTTCTAAATGCAGTGTATCTTCCCATCCTTCTAACCTGTTCCCCAAGCTCTCCAGATTCCCTTGGATATTAGTTAGAGGTGTCTGGAACGATTTCAAGGGGCCACGAGGGGCTGTGAATGAAGATTTTGCTGTTGTTGTTGTCATACAGGATAGGGAGGAGGTTGTGCTGTGCCTCAACCAGGTTGCTAATAAAAAATGGAGGCCTTAGCACAGAGCAGCTATTTCACTCACCTGATCTGGGACAAGATGCTCTCCCTACAAATGGGAAAGAAAAAAAAAAATCCTTATCAGTTGATAGTGTTATAGTGTTGTCTGATTGGTGCCAACACATGGTGCAAAGAGCATCACCTTACTGCTCAGCCAAGGGGATCACAAGCTGTTAAGCCTCCTGGCAACACCTGCCATTATTTTCCTACTTGTAGGATGGGACAGAAAGAGGGTGGCTCAGAGTTCTGCCTCTGCACAGAAGACAGTGTTTCTGGGCTCGATAGCTTGTTGCCATAATGTTCCCTCCTGCAGCACAACTTGGATAATAAAAGGCACTAAATGAGGGGGTAGGTGTCCCTGTGGTGTTTCATCAGGAGCAACTGTGACTCTCCAGCCAGCACAACAGTTCACGTCCACTGCTGTGATGGGTACACAGGGGATTTCAAGGGTTATTCTGCTGCCAGCCACGTGGCCTCATTTTGCTGGGGGCTGGCAGCGAGAGAGGCTTGTGGGACCTTGCCCTGCTCATAGTTCAGGGAGCTGCTGCTATACCTTTGCTACTTCTAGCTACTCCTGGCTGGATACCAGGCTTTTTTGGTCTCATCTACCTGCAATAAAAAGGAAACAGCCTCCTTGGTTCTCTTTCAGCCTGGCAGATTCTCTTGCCAGAAAAGCACAGTCTGAAATCGAGCAGAATTAGAAGCAACAAGAGAGGGGTCTCGTTACTCTGCCCTGTGGAAGGCAGCTAGACCATGCAGCCTTTTGGGGTTGGAATTACAGTATCTTGAGACCAAACCAGACCAAACCAAACCACTAAACACACACAAAAAGGATATTAAACTCTATAAAAATCCCAAGTCTCCTGACAGTTTCTTTTCACCCACTGCTTGTGGTGCAGAACCCGGTGTCTGTACTGGAGACCCCAGCAGTCCCCAGGGCAATTTGGTAGCAGTCCCTAACACAGCCCATGTGGGATTTTAAGGAGGTGTATTTCCTTCAGCCACTCCCAGACAAGCAAGAACAGTGCTCCTAAGAGCAAACAGTGTCAGCCTCACCTTCCTGCAGGCAGAGCAGCTTATGCAACAGGGAATAACATCCCCCTGCACTCACACCCTGGAGTTCAGTGAGCCAGAGGCATGAAACCACCTATCGTGGCGACAGCACAACCTCGGCTCTGCTAACAAAGAAAGCACGTCCCAGAAGCAGTCCTCTGAGCGACACAAAACAAGGCTCGGCCTGATCCAACCTCCTCCCTGCTCATGCTCAGGAGGACTCAGCCGCCTGCTCCCACCTCTCCCGCGGGCTGCTGACCCCACAGGCCCTTCCTTCCTCCCCAGCCCCTGCTGAGAGTCCCTCCCGTCGGCGCCGAGGAGATGCTCGGCCTGATCCAACCTCCTCCCTGCTCATGCTCAGGAGGACTCAGCCGCCTGCTCCCACCTCTCCCGCGGGCTGCTGACCCCACAGGCCCTTCCTTCCTCCCCAGCCCCTGCTGAGAGTCCCTCCCGTCCGCGCCGAGGAGATCTCACCAGGCGTTGGGAAGGAGCTCCCGACACATGCCTGCTCCGCCTCGCCCGGCCGCTGCTGGGAGTGAGGCGACCCAGCCGAGTCCTGCTGGCTCTCCCCTCGGCAGCGACACTCTCCGGGTGACAACGCAAGCTGCATCATCCCCTAGTGCCAGCTATTGCCTAAGCCTGCAGTTGCAAATGAAGTTCATGAAGCGAATGCAAAGTCCTTCGTGGGCAGGGAGCAGCCCGGTGCACCGGCACAGGCTGGCTGCCAACTGCATGGAAAGCGGCTCCGTGGAGACTGGCCCGAGGTCCTCAGCTGAGCCTGGGTCACCAAGGTGTCCTTGCAACACCAGCCAGCTGCACAGAGAGCTGTTTAGCCAACATGTCAGCCGGCAGCCTGAGTGAAGGGTTCCTTCGCTCTCCTCAGCACTCCAGACCACATCTGGAGTGCCATGACCAGTTCTGGCCTTGCTGGTAGAGGAAAGGCTGCACTGCGCCCACCTTCCATGGTACAGGGAGGCTGCCACAGGACCAGAGCACGTGGCCTACAAGGGAAAACAGAAAGACTTGAGTTTGTTCGGTCTGCAGAAGACAAAGGGTGGGATTGTACTGCTGTCTACAGCTAACTAGTGGGCAGCATAGGAAAAACGGACCCAGGCTCATCTTAGAGGAGCACCAGTTGAAACACAAAAGGCTATGGATGCACATTGCAACAAGGGAAGTTCTGGTTAGATATGAGGAGAAATTAGTTTACTGTTGAGGTACTCAGACACTGGGACAGCAGCCCACAGAGAATGTGGGATTTCCATCCTTGGAGACATTCCAGACTTGACAGGAACATGGCACTGAGCAACCTGACATATCTTGACCTGCTTGGAGTAGGTGGCATGACCTTTCAACCTCTGTATGATGTGGTTCTATTCCATGTGCATCTGTGATTTGCAGCAGCCAAAATCACCCCCAAAAATATAAGTTTTTCATTTTCCACAGAAATCAATTATTAGATCAGAGAACTAGATTTAATTTCCCTCATGGTTGGCAAAATCTTGCTGGATAATCACTTTCCTAAATTGTTGCACAGTGACCTTGTTGTGCTTCACTCCAGGAAGAGCTACATTTTACTGTCAGAGGAAATTATTGAGTCTCTGTGAAGTAGCATCACCAGTGAGATCTGTGGTGATTAGGTCTCATACTGCTGTGAGTCCATATGCAGCTACTGAGCCATCAAAAAGAGCCATCAGGAGGAAAAGCTTGTAAATCCTTCATTTGGTCAACATTCAATTTATTACCACACCATCACTATTCCTGGTTATGGCCATCTGGGATTGCTTAGCTTTAAAGTCCTGTTTCCCAAACCAAACCAGCTCTCTTGAGGCCTCTTGGAAGATGATACTCTTGATTGCAGAGGGACTATAGTCATCAGACTGAAGAATGATTAGCAACAAGAGTAAAGTATTACAACCCATGTGGAAGGTAGCTGAGGACCCCTGGAAGGTGTTAGGCTGTGATGTCTCCAAGACACAGAAGAGGCCTTGGGAATATTCTATTTCTTGCCTAACACTGAGGATGGTCTGGCTTAAGCATCTGAGAGTGTAATTATCTGTTACAGGAATGTGGAAAAAGAGCCAGCAGAGCTAGTTAGAGCTGCAGAGAAAATACAGAAGTTGCTGCTCTAAACGGTTTTGGAGAATCAGAACAGCTTTTGCTTAAGATATAAGGGGATGCATCAAGGCTATTAAGAACCTGAGGGTAAAAGGCAGCAAAACCCCACTGATAAATCCTGGCTGAGGTTCCGGGATCCCATGTACTGAAATGTAGGATGTGTGCAGGAGTTTTTTCTGAGTGCTGATGGGCACGCAGAGGAAATCCCACCCTGGGATCCTGCAGCAGCTGGTACGCGGAAAACAAGTTTTTTTCCCCTCTGTCTTACAACCTCTAGTGGCCAAAAAGCATCACTCCAGGGAAACTGCTTGCTGGAGCCAACGAGGTTGCCTCCCACGAGATTTTGTTATGCACGTCCCATGAATTGAAAGGGGAATGCCACAGGAGAAGGCCTGCAAAAGTGCCTCAGAACATCTCCCTGCGCTGCGGCAGGATCTTTTATCCTTAATTACAGATGTCTTAGCAAACCCATTTTAAAAAAGCCTCCTTGGAGCACTATTAGAACATTTTTTGCCTCTGTTCCAGAGCTGTGATTTTGCTGGTTCAGCTGCTATTCTGGCATAGGGCAAACCAACCAACGAAGAAAGAAAGGAGAGAGAATAGCCTTTGATATATTGTATACCATTGTGGCCAAGAAGGCCAATGGTATCCTGGGGTGCATTAAGAAGAAAAGTGTGTCCAGAAGTTGAGGGAGGTTCTCCTCCCCCTCTACTCTGCCCTAGAGAGACCCCACCTGGAGTATTGTGTCCAGTTCTGGACACAATCTGTCCCCAGTTCAAGAGGGGCAAGGATTTACTTGAGAGTCCAAGGGAGGATGATGAGAATGATTGAGGGACTGGAACACCCGCCTTACGAGGAAAGGCTGAGAGACCTGGGGCTGTTTAGTCTACAGAAGATTGGGAGGGGATCTTATTAATGTCTATAAATATCTGAAGGGTGGATATCAAGGAGGAAGAGCCAATCTCTTTTCAGTCATGCCCTGTGATAGGATGAGAGGCAGTGGAAACAAACTGGAACACGGGAAGCTCTACCTCAACATGAGGAAAAACTTCTTTACTCTAAGGATTACAGAGCACTGGAACAGGCTGCCCAGAGAGGTTGTGGATTCTCCTTCTCTGGGAACCTTCAGGACCCGTCTGGATGCCTTTCTGTGTGACCTACCCTAGATTCTGTGGTGGTCTTGGTCTGGCAAGGGGGTTGGACTCGATCTCCAGAGGTCCCTTCCAACCCCCAACATTCTCTGATTCTGTGATCTTACTATTGCATCTCCACCTAAACTTCTAGTTACTGCTGTCCTGCAGTCTCTTTAGAACTGGCATAATTTTATAAAGGGATTTATACAAATCACATAGTAACAGAGAAGTTGTTTGCTATGTTTCTCTCTTGCTCGTGTCACAGATCTGCAGGATCACCCCTGCAGCAACAGTAGGGAATGTGCACATGGAAATGTTACCAGAATGTATTTTTTCAGCTGGTTTAGCAGCTGGATACAAGCAGAAGGAGCTAAACATGACATAACCTGCCAGCTCTCCCAGGCCTATCCACCAATGCTGGCATAGTGTGACCTGCTGATGGAGAAAGCACCCAAAGGCTAAGCAACAGATCTGCAAATACTGGGTGCCCTCCAGTGGGACAGAGGAGCTTGCAGCACTCATAATACCTTTTTTTTTTTTTTTTTTTCCTAGTTTGGACTTTCTGTTTTTCTCATTGCCAACTGCATATAATCATAATCCAAGCCTCTTAAATACTATTAGTACTGAAACCTGAGACATAGGGAGGAAAGCTGGTGACTTCTGGTTATGAAATGAGCTAATGAACAGGGATAAGAGTTGAGCACAAAAGCTTTGCATGTAGCTCTTTTATAGCTTCAGATGATGTGGCAACTTGGAAATTATTATTCTGACCTTTAGATCCATTGCAAGACCCTCTCTGGGATTTATGGCCCTGGCTGTAATCTGCTGCCCTTTATTTTACAGCTTTAAGGCTTTGCTGCATAATTTTCCTTTTGCATGCACAAAATCAAGTTAACTGTCCCAAGAATATTACTAGAGAGCAAATGGTGCTCAGTAACAGGGGAGCTTTATGAATATGGTCTCCTGACTCATACCAGGGACCAGCTCTCCTTTGTCATCGGGACAGTGGCCAATACTGGTGATCTGTTGGCCAGTAATGTTGAAGGGAAGGCAATTTCTGGGAGTTTCAGATCTCCCCTCTGCTCCTCCAGGCTCCCACAACCCTGCTTATCCCCACGGTATCATTCTGTCTTTGAACATCACCCTTTGCCTTTGCTTTTAAGGAAGGTCCTTAAGGCTAATGAAATTTCCTTTGTTTGACTCTTTGCTTCCACAGGCCAAAGATACTGCATGCTGTATT